TGGGGTGGGCCCCCCCCCCCCCCCCCCCCCTGCTCGCTCCGTCTTCTGGAGGACGCGTGGCCAATGGTTTAACACAACCAAAGCATGCAAAACATGAGTACCCCCGCCCCCCGGACGAGCTGCCTCACAGCAAAGGCATGCCAAACATGAGTACAACCCCCCCCCCCCTACCTTACTGATGCCACGGTGAGGGCGCGCGCGGCGTAGACGCCTCTTTGTCCGGCGCGCCCCTGCGCGAACCAGGCCGCCGCCAGGCAGGCGAGCACGGCGGAGGCGAGGAGCGAGTCGAGGGGGGGCCGGGGCGCGGAGAACAAAAAGGGTCGGAAGACGGGCAGCAGCACCAAAGACTTGGACGTCTCGCACAGGACCAGCAGGGACACTGCACCCCCCACCGATAGAATCTGCGAGCGTGCGAGCGGTAGGGGTGGGGGTGGGGGTGGGGGGCGGGGGGCTGCTCGTTGAGTCAGTTTCGTTGACTTGGAATCAAGTTGTTCATCGACGACGATGGACAGAAAAAACTGATGCCTGTGACAGGAGCCCAATGATGAGGCCTATGCATGACGCAGAAGGCGTTCTTCGGGTGGGTCAGATTGTACGGAGTAGTGAAATTCTTGCAAGTGCTGTGCTGGTGCTACGATACCTCCCGTGAAGCGGATGCGCATCCACTAGCGAAGTGCTCTTGCAGCCTGTTCTGTGCTTGTTGTCGACGAAAGCAGCTCAAAGCACCACCGAACAGGACAGACACACCACTTTTAAACCGCCTATCTACAACGCGCACCACCGCTTGCAAGCACCAGATCTCCGCAAGCACCCCCTTCCCCACCCACGGAACCGCCGCGCGCGCACCTTGTCCAGCCTACGGCCGAGCCCCGGCGTCGCCCACCACAGCACGCCCTTGGATCGTAGCGACAGCAGCATCGGCCACGGCAAGGAGGCAGCCAAGGCGACCTTCTGCAGCGACTTCCATCTCACCGCCCCGCCCGCCCACACCAGCAGCCGGTAGTCGACGGAGATCTGAGATGGACGAAGACGATCACAAAGGGCGATTTTCTGGAGACATGAGAGTACAGTCGAACCTCGCTTAAGGACACACCCGGTTTGCTGCTACAAAAGTGTCCTTAAGCCGGGGAAGTGACCTGAAGGTTGATACCCTCCTTACGTTGTACATTCTGCGAGCCATCATACGTACCTGATAGATGCATGCCCTCGTGACATATAAAGACGCGATCGAGGTACGCGCGACCAGGACTAAATTAAGCAAAACACATCAACTACACATCAACTACATAAAACACAGCATAGTCGTTAATTTTCTTCCATCATCGACAGGTTGAAAGCATGGACAACTGTGAAGATACTTCCGATACCCAACCCGAAATCGGTCCAAATTTTCATCCGCGTTCAAACGGATGAAATTTTCCAGTGATCGTTGGTCCCAAGCCGTGACGGAGAGACACTAAAGATATCGAAAAAAAGAAAATCCAGGTACATGTTAACCAAACGTTTCCTAATCTTGTAAGACTGATATTCATCTCGCCTGTACCAGCGCCGGAAGGAGCAGCATGCACGCGCAGAGCAAGCAAGGTGCCCGGGAATCGCCATGCACCTGAAGGAGGATTGGATGAGTGTGCAAGCCACGGGCACGGGAAGAGCTCGATGAAATGCGAAAGCACGAAATGCAAGAGCAAGAGAATAGTAGAAGATCAAGCTGTCCAGAAAGCGCAGAGATTGGTTTGATGATTCGTATGCATAGCACCTTCTGGGGTTATTTCAAGAGGGCTGGCTGTTCACAGCAAGTCAGAGACAAGTGGAAGGTTGTGTTGTACAACCTGGTGTTTTGTCAGAACGGACACCGTAGGTAGGAGATAGCCGGGTATAGGCAGGTATAACGGAAAAGAAAAAGAAAAGGAAAAAGAAAGAGATGCACCTTGCTCACAACAGAAGAAACATCTGAACGCAAAGGAGCAAGACAACAAGTAAAATAAGAGGAGTAGAAGAGAGTACAGAGGAGGAGTAAGAAGGCAGTGAGAGTACGGAGGGGGGAAGACAGACAGAGAACGAGAGCAAGAGCACCGTCAAGTTTTTTTTTTGGGAAAACGACACAACAGGGTATACCCTGGTCGAAAAGCGACACACCTGGGTACACAGTCATTAACGGCAGTAAACGCACTCATACCATTGGTCAACGCCCAATTTTACCCCAGTGCGTCCGAAAAGGCGCAGGGTATACCCTGCCGTGACTACTTTTCTCAACAACTGTACCCTGTTTTCGGAAATGTACCCTGACCTGACGGGAAATGAGACCCTTTCATCAATCATTTCCCCCGCAGGAATCTTCCCAACTCCTTTTCCCCTCCAACCATGGGATACCAAACGGCGAACCTTCTCGCCGAATAACAACCATGGCAACGGGGCAGGAATCAGTTTCCGACCCTGCGAAACAACGCCAACCATCACCTCTTCAGCTCTAAATCAACAATGGCCGGGCAATACCCCAGCACAATTGTTCCGTTTGGAAACATGGACACACGCGTACAATACCCCGTGGACTACTGCTTGCTTCAGTCTATATGCGAGATGCACGGGTCACGTTATGAAAGCGAGACCAATCCAGCATGGTTGACATGCATATAGGCATGTATGTGCCAACGTGTGGACCTGTGCTGGCGGCGAGCTCGCGCCCGCAGATAGGGTGGAGGGGAGAGGCAGGACCAGCACACACAGACACACCCTTGACATCAATCACGCACACACGAGTCTTATCGTTACTCTTGCAGCAGGGCACTGCTGTGTCGTCCAACTCAATCACCCTCCCTGTCAGTAGAGAGAAAAGAAAGAGCGCTTACGTTGTATTTCATTGGCCATCCCGCTGAAGCCTGACGTCTTCTTACTACATTGATTGATTGTTCGGCTTGGTTGGCTGGTAAGCGTGACCGCTGCAGCAGCAGTAGTAGTTCAAGCAAGAAACACATCGCAAATGAGACACAACAGACAACACACGCACGCACACACGGCGTATCGCAATCGAGACACAACAAACAACACACGCACGCACACATGCATATATATGCATGTCAACCATGCTGGATTGGTCTCGCTTTCATAGCGTGACCCGTGCATCTCGCATATAGACTGAAGCAAGCAGTAGTCCACGGGGTATTGTACGCGTGTGTCCATGTTTCCAAACGGAACAATGTGCTGGGGTATTGCCCGGCCATTGTTGATTTAGAGCTGAAGAGGTGATGGTTGGCGTTGTTTCGCAGGGTCGGAAACTGATTCCTGCCCCGTTGCCATGGTTGTTATTCGGCGAGAAGGTTCGCCGTTTGGTATCCCATGGTTGGAGGGGAAAAGGAGTTGGGAAGATTCCTGCGGGGGAAATGATTGATGAAAGGGTCTCATTTCCCGTCAAGTCAGGGTACATTTCCGAAAACAGGGTACAGTTGTTGAGAAAAGTAGTCACGGCAGGGTATACCCTGCGCCTTTTCGGACGCACTGGGGTAAAATTGGGCGTTGACCAATGGTATGTGTGCATTTACTGCTGTTAATGACTGTGTACCCAGGTGTGTCGCTTTTCGACCAGGGTATACCCTGTTGTGTCGTTTTCCCTTTTTTTTTCAAGGGGCTGATACAGCAAGTCAGGGCGACACACGAGAGAGAGACCGACAGAGACAAGATACAGAAAAAGACAAACCGACTGACAGACAGCCCTAGAGAGAGATGAGAGGGGCTCTTAAGAAAAATTAAAAGGTGCACAACTGCTCTATAGTCCCGAAGGGGGGCGAAGAGCTTGCAGACAAAGCACATGCAGCAGTCACCGCCTGCGCGCTCGTGTGCTATACACCCTGGAAGACAAGGCTATAACGACTATCGAAAAAAGCACGTGGTACAAAACTGGCATCACTGATAACAATTCAGTGTTAAGGCATAAATAGACTCAAAATAAGCCCAGCATCCCGCCGTTTTTCCCACTCAATGTTGCGACTTCAACTCATCCCCTTGGACTGCTTGCTGTGGTTATACCTCGAACGGGTACAGCAGTCTTTCTTTGATTGTATGTATGTACTGTTATTTTCTAAATTTACGAAATACAACCCGAAAGCATACTATGCGAGGGTGTACTTCACACAAACCATCCCTTTCGAAGTGGTTGTACGTGTAATTTCTACCAAAAGCTTCAATATCGTCGCCAAAGGGGAAACGCCTTTAGCCCAAACGGTCCGGCAGGAACATGGACAGGTTTTACACCAAAGAACGTGGAATGGCGTCGTCGGCCTCGCGTGTTCCATCGCCTAGACACGCCGCACGAAACTTTCATGGCTGCCCACGCTGCAAGAATACGCGACTCTGAACATTCGGTACACAAAAACTAAAATCACAAGACCGTGCAGTGCAGTTGTTGTTGGTGATAAACGCCGCGGCTCGTTCTTCTGCCAGCACTATCTGTACAGTCCGACCGCGCAAAGAGAGCGGTTCGTATACGTAGATATCGTCGAGGTCGTGAGTGCATAAGGCAAGGCAAGCACCGCCGAGGGAACGACAGCCTAGGTGACATACAGGGCGCCACACCCTCTGGACCAATTCCCAGAGCTCCAATACTCCACGACGAAGAGGATGCACCGTGAATCAAGCGAAATACGTTCGGCAACCTCTCGACGACATGATTCCAACACCGGTCTCTCCTCTGCGGTGGAGTATTCGAGCTTTGAAAATCGGTCCAGGGGGTGTGCTATCTTGTGTCATGTTACCTACGGTAGCTGTCTAGCGGCAGACGGCAGACACACGCACGGCGATGAGGTCCCAAGGACGAAAACACCGCGTGATTTGGACGAGGCTTGGGGTGGTAGACCGGAGCATTCGAGGACTCGTGCACACCCCGTGCTATCGCGGCGTGTGCACGCCGAAGCGGTGCTTGGCACACTCCATCGTCCCTCGAGGACAGCAACGGAATCCGTGTGTGACTGGCAAGTGCTATACAGCGTGTGCTTGCGTGTTTGCACCTGTTTGCACCAGTGCCCCCGGGGGGAACAGCTGTTCCCGTCTGAAAACCGTACAGCGGCACGCCAGCTTTTGGCAACAACGGAAACAACACCGATAATAGCAACGACTGCAGTAGCGGCAGCACAACAACGAACAACGAACAACCAACGGTAGCCGTTAACATGAAAGAACACACACACACATACTCACCCCACCAGCTCCGCCCCCCCCCAGCCCAGAGCGCAGCGGTACCGCGTACAGGCCGACCGCGGCGTACATGAACAGGGCAACGCATGGGGCCGCGTACGTCGCCCCCCCGAACGCAACGCCTGCCCAGGTGAGGATCGCGGCGGCTGGCAGTGGAAAGCAGGCGAACAGCAGCCTGTCGAAAAAAAAGGAAAAATCGGCGGGGGAGGGGGGGGTTGGGGGGGGGGGGGGGCCTCATTCCCGGCAGGGGGGGCCTTGGACCCCACCTTCCCCACCTCCCAAAAGGGTTCCCCCCCCCGGCAGGGGCCGGAAATACCCTACAATGACCAGTCAACCCCGGGGAAATTTGGTTGATTCCCCCCCCCCCCCCGGGCCTTTTTCTTCCGGGGAAAGGCCGGCCCAAAAGGTTGGGGGGGGGGGGGGGGGCCCCCCGGGTTTAAATCCCCCGCGCCCCCGGCGTTTTGGTTTTTTGGCCCCCCCGGGAAAAAACCCCCCCCCCCGGGCCCCCCCCTCTTGGGGGGAAAAAAAAACCCCGACGAACATTCCCCCCTTTTCCGGGGTCGGGGGGGATCCCGGGGCCCCCCCGGCGAACCCCCCGGGCCCCCCCAAAAAAGAAC